CGGCTGTTCCAAAGTGCTGGGTTAAAACCTGAGCACTTGCCCATCTCTGTTCACACCCGATTACACATTTTTTAATCACAATGATCTGAGAGTCCGACTCCCTGAGACATAAGTTGACAAGTCCCATTTGCCTGTAATTTTACCAGCACCCTTCAAAAAACGGAACGCAGTAATGTTCACATTACTGCTTGGCGGCAGAAATGGATAAGGTGGCAGTAATTCTCTGGACGATCTCTTTCACAAGGAGCTCTACTGCTACTAAAAATGTACGATATTAAAGATTCTTCCTCAGTATTGTATAGGCGTAGTAATTACTTATTCCCTCGTGTAAATTATCTGACTGAAAACTTATCAGGTTGTACAAAAAACACACTCGTACAAAAACAAATGTCTTTTGAATGAAAATATATATCCCCTTCAATGGCCAGCCCGTTTCACTTCGTTTAGACATGGAGTACCATTCAATTCATTGCTTCAAACACTCCAAAGGCATAACTGCTATTAATTGTTGTCCATAGACTAAAGCCATTACGAACCCTTGTTAAATTAAAGCGATCTTTTTACTATCACCTCAACGACTTTAAAGGTGAGGTACTGATTGTGGATTTTTTAAAATTACTATTTTGACATGCATTATACATGATTATTTGTAAAACACTACAGTACCGGCACGCTATGATGGCCGTTATGACAGATTATAATACTGAGGTCAAATCTCAATTCATTATCGAAAAAAATATAATCAAACGCTAGTCACATCTATTAGTTTTTAGATTTATAACTATTATTGCAAGGGGTAGCTGATTAAAAAGTTTTAATAACACGAAAATAAAAATGTTTACTTAATATATCGTCAATTCGAAGCTGCTTTGTTTTGCATTGAGCTTTGACGCGAGTTTGCCAGGGGTAGAAGTTGTGCTGGCCAGCGATCTCATAAGTGACGATCGTAATAGATTTCATTTTTTTAAATGTCGAATTTCGTAAAATTGTACATACCATAAATTATATTAGCTCCTGGAACGTAATTATGCATTAATACGAAACTTGATAAGCAGACAAAAGTCGAAACGGTCATCATAGTGTGCCGGTACTATAACAATCTCGCAGTACTACATTATTAACATCATTTAAACAAAAACTTTAGTTCTATGACTTTTAATAATTCATCAGATATTGTTTTCAAACAAAACTAAACATATTTATATAGATCGCTCTAAACAATAACTGTGCAGGACGGAAGTGGAGTCGTCGCAGAAGACGCTTGCTCGTTTGAACTCACCTTACTACCAAATACAGATCCAAAAATGTCAGTTAGTACAATAAAAACTTAAACGTTTCTTTTTGATAAATGATGTTTTGTAAAAAGTCACGAAACAAAGTTCTTATTTATGATGTTAGTAATATAGTCCTGCGAGGTTATTAGTATTTTAAAAATAATCCTGTATTTTATTAATTATTTATGTCAAACATTCCTCATAAATGGCGCTACGACTAAAAAGTCGCTGAAAAACCAAATACAAAGACACGACAACAAGCACATAGAAAAATTCGTGAGGGCCGTCTGGCACGGTATGCTAGAAGACGTCGGTTCGAATCCGGCTGGATCGAAGGAATTTTTTCTGAGTGTTCGATCATTGTATTAATAATTATAACAAACTAGTGGAGTTTTAGTTTATTCAAATTTCTATTATTAATTAATAAATTGAACTCAACAAAAATTCATTCAATCAAATAATTTGTAAAAATTATGTAGCGTAAATTGGAATTATTCTTTGTAAAATTGAAACTAAGGTATTTAATTAATAACTATTGTAACTATAGTGAAAAAATAGGATGGTTTGCATCAATATTAGACGTAACTGATTGAAGACTGTACCACCTCAGTCAACCGTGACCATGGGACCTGTAAAGGGCCCGAAACGTCGGTTTGTTTGAAAAAACAAATATACGCGATTTAAATCCGGAAAAATAGTTTCATTTCCTATATGTAACAATCGCAAAAACCTAAGAACTCGATAGTGGAGGAATTTCACAAAAAATAATGGAATATCAATTCAATAAAAAATTAAAATAATCCTGTATTATTAGACTTCAAATCTTCAATTTATTTTCTTCCTAAGCAATTCATCTGTTCCTCTTTAGGCTATGTTAAAAATTACCAATCATGACTAACACCGCATTGTCCCCGTCATATGATTAAAAAAAATTAAATACATATAGCCCTGATATTACAACAGTATTGTAACTCGAAATATGTTCACATACATTCAAGATTTTACTATTGCTGCACGTATACAACCGTCATAGTTAGAGTATTGTGAGAAACAAAAGATATCTAGTTATTTCAAAATGACAAACTTTTTGTGAACTAGTTCTGGGCAAAAGAGTCGTTACTCAAAAATATTAAGTAATTTTTTCCCTTTTATTTTTATTATGTATTTGTCAAGTAGGAAATTATTTAGATGTCTATAATAAACTTTAACTTATACATAAAGTTTGATATTTTTAACTGGCAGTGAGTAATTCGTTTTTCATCGATTCTGGAAAAAACTTTTTTGTTTTAACTGTGCGTTATGTATACAGAGTTTTAAGATCTACATCAAATCCACATCCGGACTGTTTCCTTATTTATTGCTTCAGCTGCTACGTTATCTGTATCTACTTAAGTTCATTGCTTCGAAGTTATCTGCCTGAAACACTTACGAAATAGGACAACTTCAGTGATTAATGTCCATTTGTGAAAACTTTCTGCAAAATAAAACAAATGTAGTCTTTAAAACTGCTGCTTCTAAGACTTGTTAAAAGTTGTTTCCGTCCTTTAAGATCGTTGATGCAGTTGGTTCATAGTTAAAAGTATTTTGCTGCTTTCGTTCATGTCTTTTAGCAAAAGTTATTACATATGTGATTTAATTATTGAAGCAACAAAAGCAGCGTTTAATACTAAACGCCTGATTATAAGCCAGGATGCTGAGAGAGGCCATTGAAATTAAAAAACATCCCAATTTCAACAGGGAAGATGGTTTCTCCGTACCACCAGTTTGGTATCCAGTATTTCCTCTGATGAAAAATCTTAAACAGACATAAGACTGTAGTACTAATTAACATGTTTTAGTTTATTCTAATTTATTAATAACAAATTGAACTTAATAAAAATTCATCCAATGAAATAATTTGTAAAAGTTAATGTAGCGTAAATTGGAATGTTTTCTTTATAAATTAAAAATAAGGTATTTAATTAATAACTTTTGTAACTATAGTGAAAAATAGGGTGGTTTGCATTAATATAAGACATAACTGGTTGAAGACTGTACCACCTCAGTCAACCGTGACCATGGGACCTATAAAGGGCCCGAAACGTCGGTTTGTTTGAAAAAAACAAATACGCGATTTAAATCCGGAAAAATAGTTTCATTTCCTGCCTGATTATAAGTTAGAATTTACAAGATACTATCATCCAGAGAAGTACTGCCACCTACTACTACCTAATGCGTTCCGGTTTTGAAGAGTAAGGTTGCTGGCGAAATTACAGGCACATGAGACTTTTTAACTTATGTCTCAGGGTGATGGGCGCAGAGGCACTGCACCTCAGGACTTTGCGTTTTAGAGCTCTGAGTGGCACTACAACTGTTATGGACAGGCGTATCGTTTACCATCAGGCGCACAACATGTTCGTCCCATCACTTGGTAATAATAATAAGTTTTTTTTATTATTATACACAGTGACGGGACAAACAAGTCGTGTGCCTGGTGGTAAGCGACACGCCTGTCCCTGGCAGTTGCAGTGCTACTCAGAGAGAGATCTGAGAAGCACTGCCACCGTAAAAAATGAAAATGGTATATTTAAGTAACACTCATTTATATTACAATGCTTTTTAATTACACAGATGAGATGAGGGTGAGCAATTATTTATTAATAACCACTAAATTACTACGTATGTTACAAAACCTATTAATATAGCAAGTAATTATTAAATTTTACTCACGAAATTAATGTAGGGAAATCTTCATGTGAAATTCACGTATGCGTCATGAATGAAAGATACACTAAACAAGCTTGAACTAGGCTGTTTTATTTTTATTGGATGTCATGTTTTTACTAACATTTTATTCGTCTATTTTTTGTGAAAATATTTAAGAAGTTTATCGAGTTATTTTTATTTAACAAGTTTGTTGCTATTATTGATGAAAAGATCGAACAATCACAAAGAAAAATGCCTTCGATTCGACTGAACTCGAATCATCTGTCGCCTTAACGTGGCTACAGCTCTGCCAACACGTTACACGTTGAGTGAGCAGATCTTAGCATTTAATTTTTTTTTTTCAATTTTTTAGATAAAATCAACAGCCTAATACAGGTAAATTGCACTTAATGCTAGTCAGTGTTAAGGCCAATTACAGATTTTCTGAATTACATATATAATTTAGTCGTATTAAACAGATTGAAACTCGCATTCCAACAGATAGGCATCTATCATCAGTATTAGGCGATGTTAAGTATTATAAATAAAAAGAAAATGATTTAAAGATTTCTGTATGTTCTTGTTGTTGTGGATCTTTGTAATTAATTTTTTAAAACGGCTTTTTTGCCGTTGCGCCACCTGAGAGAGCTTATGAAAGTTTTTTTATATCAGTCAGATACTTTTACACATACCTAAAAACTCACAGAGATGTCACTATTGGCATCTCTATCAGTCGTTTGGTAAGTGTAGTATAGACTAATTGCAATATTTTATTTTTATTGAATATTATGTTGTTTTTACTGTATTTTCATCTATTTTTTGTGAAAATGTTCCACTAGTTTGTTATTTTTGTTGATACAAAGAAGGAACAAACACAAAGAAAAATTATTTCGATCTGACTGGATTCGAGCCAGTGTCTGCCGTCTCAACGTAGATACACAATATCTATAATAATAAGCTTGAATTAGGATTCTAAAAACAGTCTTACGTCCTGTAGCTATACAATTCGTATAGAAGTTAAATGCTCTTGTCTTTCTGCAGGTGGGTTGGGTAAAAGCGGACACAAAGGCGATCCAAGCGATCCACGAGCACGTGATCACCCACAACCCTCGCGTCTCCGTCTCTCATACGGACCACTCCACCTGGTACCTCCACATCAAGAGCGTACAAGAGGAAGACCGGGGACAATACATGTGCCAGATTAACACAGATCCTATGAAAAGTCAAGTTAGTATAATAATAATGATGTTAAGATAGATCTATAATTATTGTTTTCTTACAATATATTAGACTATTCTGAGAGAGAAGAACCTGTATTAGAATACCCTTGTTACTGTACTCC